TAGTAGTAATAGTAGTAGTGGTAGTAGTAGTAGTACTAGTAGTACTATTACTAGTAGTAGTAGTAGCAGTAGTAGTAGTGCTAGTAGTACTAGTAGTACTAGTAGTAGTAGTAGTAGTAGTAGTAGCAGTAGTAGTAAAACCACTCAGTCCACCCGCTTCTCTCTACGAGTAGAGCCGAACACCGGCGATCGGCCCGGCCTCCCGTTTCAGCAAGGCGATCTTCTCACCTTCGGGCGCTTGGTTCGTTTCGTGAACTGCTGAGGCGGACTGAGGAAACGATCCGGGTGTACTGCAGGCCCCGTACTACGGTGTGTACTAGAACAAGACTGGCAAAGACTTCCTTTTTTTTGCGCAGGGTTGATGTTCATTGATTATTCCCTTGATCCTCCTATTTCAAGGGTCTCTCTATTTCAACGCACGGCGGATTCCATGACACGGGGTCTCTGCAGTTGCCCCAAGCGGTCTCAAACCATGACTCCTCAAACAGCATGTCTGAGGTCCGATGGCTCGCCAGAACGCCAGTTCGCTTCCCCTCATGTCGGAAGCGGTATGGGTTTGGCAGTCAACCCTCGGGTTGACGAGCACACCAAACCAAAGTGAGATGTTTACATCCATACTTCTTTAAAGTATAGTCATGAGATGTCATGAGTCATGACTACATAGCCCCATGATTGTCTGGTCTCGATGAAGAAAACTGCAGAGGGTTTGAACGATTCACACGGCCCATCATGTCAGAGTCGCTCTACTGGTCAGCCGCCCTACTGGTCAGGTGCGTCTGATCTTCGGCTTCGGAGTCTGGTGCAGATTCGGAGTCGGTCAACGATAATGGGAGAAAATCGAATATGATATGTAATCTAGATCTTCCAACTATGCCAAACGTCTGCCTTCTGTCTGAAAAGGCAGAAATTTGGCATAGGAAAATCTAGGAATATATGTTGTTTGTGCATGTTTGTGCAGCATTCTCGATCACTTGACAGTATCGAACCGCACCGTCTTCGCGCGCTCCGTGCGGCACGCCTGAGGTCCGAATCCTTGGTTCCCAGGCAAACTCCAGGGATACCAAGACGATCAGAGACTCTTTTTTAAAACCTTCAAACGGATCCTATAGTTTGATCACGATCAATCCTCTTCGTCTCCTCTTTGATCACGTGCACCGTTTTGTCCACCCATCCGGGTTTGTTGAACACCCGACCGTCTCCGACGATGATCGCGCATCCGGGACGAAAAGGAACGTGAGGATCGTTCGGAGGATCGTTCGGTTCCTAAGGGGGGTTGAGACGTCAGCATTTCTGAGCCTACTAGGAGCAAGGCTTGCTCTGAGCCTACTAGGAGCCTACTCTGAGCCTACTCTGAGCCTATGGAGCATCAACTACTAGCTTCTTGCTCCGTTCGGTTCGTACGGCCAGGAGCCCCCGGAACTCGGTTCGCGTCCGATATTGCTCCGTTCGAGTCGCGATGCCAGGAGCCCCGATCGTAATAGGCCATATTCAGCATTTGGAAGCACCAGTCGCAAACCACCAGTCGTGGCGAAACCACGCGAGGGGCTCTTGGAACGTGGCGGACACCTTCATGAAGAGGATGCATCACTAATCTTTAGCCTTTGGACTTGAGGATGCAGGCCACTGGCGGTGGGGTCTTCCCATTATGATACACACCCAAACTCGAAGTTGGCTCCAGGTGGGGATTTCCGCGACATCTACAAGACCTGGGACATCTGAGCAGTCTCGGTCAACCTTTCAGTTGGGCTTCTTGAAGAAAAATGAGCTCTTGGATACAGTGCCCTTTTATTGCACATGTCTGTACATGTACACAAATGCATTCTGAATCTCTGAAGGCTCAATTTATGGTAGCATATAAACAAAAACCATCCAACACCTACCTGAATCATCTGTCCATCGAGGCGACCTACCAAAAAGAAGCATAGCCAAAAACACAAAAACCATCCAACACTCCAAAAGTCTTGCCCTCCTCAACAACTCCATCCGGGTAACTTCATCATCAAGGCGAGCTCTTCTGACCTGCCACGAGAAAGTCCCCAACGGCGAGTTGTTCGCCGCGCTCCACGGAGAAGAAGCGTTGGAGAAGAAGCGAACGGGCGGACTCCGGGTGCTGAGCGGTGCTGAAAAAAGTATTTCTAGTTGAACAAATGAACATATTAGATACTTATTAGCAGTAATGATTGAAAGTAAACATGTCCATCATTGTCCATCAGTCGGTGGATTGTTTTTGATCTCCTATAACTTGCAGGGGCAGCTGCCCCAGAATCAGCCGCTCAAGCACCGAAAAAATGTCTGGAGCACCTGAGGAAACTCACCTGGACCACCCCGGACGAAAAGAAACTCATTCGGACACCACTCGAAATCGCCAAAACGATCCTCTCCCAGAGCAAGTGGTTCCGCAAGAATCTGATAACCTCCCCGTCTGGAACGCAAAACGAGGTCCCACTGGAACACTTGCAATTCTCAGTCATATCTGTTCATTTTGGTTCCAATCTCAAGATGAACTCGGCTTTGTGGATAGATCTTGTTCATGTTTTTATTATGTGGCTTTGAATCCCACACGCCATTTCCATCCATTTCGTGAGGCTCATGTGCCACGAAGGTCCGAACCGCCCCGAAGAGTCGGGCGACGCCCCGCGAAGCGCGTTGACGGCGTTGACCCGGCCCCGCGCCAAAAGGGCCGCTCGTTCAAACAAGTGCATCCCTACTGAGTGACAAGGGCATTATTACTATTACTATTACTATTACTATTACTATGACTACTACTACTACTACTACTACTACTACTACTACTACTACTACTAAAAATACTAGTACTACTGCTGCTGCTGCTGCTGCTACTACTACTACTACTCCTGCTACTACTACTACTACGACGACCACCACCACCACCACCACGACTACTACTACTACTACTACTTAGTAATGCCCGTGTTACCAGTAGCGATGCACTTGCTACTACAGTCAGTCCCTTCAACCCTTCAACTGAACTTCAACCCCTGCAGTTTTGGACCAGTATGACTCAGAACCGGGTGTAGGTTGTCCAAAGGCCCTTGCACAACATGAAAAAACAAAAACCTGTCGCCACTTTCGAGAGAGCATGCAACAATCATCAAGAAACACCAAAAGTATGGACTTACCTCATGACTTGGTTTGAGTATCACTGTGTCACACTCCGTGTCCAACGAGAGCGCTCCGGCGACGGGGTCCAACCATCGCCTTCGCCGTCGCAGCTCCCGACGAAGCCGATCTATTTCCTGCGGAGGAGATTTGGCGCTGTCCCAGTGCGACCAGCATGAGGATCAGGAGATATGTCTTTGTTACATTTGTTACTGGTAGCTTCTTGTTAGTAGTAATGCCAGGAGCTACGTTCGTAGCGTCCGATCGCTCCGTTCGTAGCGATGCCCTTTGCCCTAGACTTCCAAGACCATTTAAAAATTGACCTGGTTTTCGTAATGTAAAATCCCTAGCTAATTTGGTAAAGCCTATTAATTTACATAATGGTTGTTGGAAGCCTATAGGGTTTGTGATGTTCGTCGCTTTCAGAAGATATCCGGAGATCTGTGAGCAACTGGTCTTACCCAGTCTTTCACGCTGAACATCGATCAGCAAGTGTGACGCGAACATTCTGAATGGGTGATCTAGCTTAATCAACTGGAAGGCATCATGACTGATCAGCCAGCAGTGTATGGGTGTGGCGCCCATGGTACCACATTTCACCCACACCGCACCATGAATGGGTATAATGCGTGCGTGGTTTTACCCGACATTTTCTTGCTGAGACCCGACATTCTTTGGGGCAAACAAAAGGATGCTGTGAAACATGGAACAAAGCCATGGCCCACCTGTGGACCTGTGGCAGGGGAACAATGCTGGAAAACGCTCTTGCTGGGAAACTTCTGCACCCAAAAGAACTTCAATAGGTTGAGGTTCAATGTGAAGCTTGTCAGCCACTCGTTTTCGAGGGCATCGACTTTGACTCTGCGGTGTGCCAACGACGCCGTGGAAACAGCTGCTACCCTCGTTTCGCAGCAACGCACAGACGCACAGTCAACTTCGGAACTGTGGGATCCTGGAGCATCAGTTCTGCCAGGATTAAATGCTGTTGCAAATGTTCAACTATTGAGCGGCTCTGACGCTGCTGCCTACTGATACAATGTTGATACAAACGATGGAAGCACCCAGATTGATGAAGCATCAGGTCGGCCTGTCACAAGAGGCACGTCGCGTCTTCATCCGATCATCCAGCAGGATAGCCTTTGACAAGTCTGTGTCCGCCCACCAACTTCAGGTTCTAATCCTATAGCTTATCCGTTTCGATGATACCCGGAAACCGCGTGAACCCGTGAGAGACCACACCCGGCGGCGAGTCGCGCGTCCGCCGCGTCCACCGCGTCCTCGTCCGGCACGTCGCAGCTCAGCAACATGGCGAGCGCGCGGCGCGCATCTCGCGCTCCGCAATCGCCAAGAGGGGGAGATTTTTCGGTTGCCTGAATTACGGCGTTTGTGGTGCTGGAGATCAATAGGCTACAGGCTACAGGCATCTGTAAAATGAGGCATGACTTCCAAAAGCGCCAAGCTCACCATGGATGTTCAGGGCCTTCCCACGAGGGCCCAAAATGGCCCGGACTGGCTGTTCGCTGTACCTGCAGGGGATTCAAAGCAGCGCTGGAGCCAAAAGGGCACCCGCTTTCCAAGCAAAAGTTGTGTCACACGTTCTCTCAAACAGGACATGTTCTCATGGACTCGCAGGGAAATCCACCTGAACGCCCCTGTCTCAAGCAAACACATTGCAAACCAAAGTGTGGCAACCCAACAATGGCAGGAATGTGCAGGAATCAGATTCTCTAGTGGCGGTTTGGACTCTAGACAAACAACCATGCTGAACTGGTTCTTTGGTGGTCCCAGGTCCTCTGAACAAAGTAAATCATGGGTACGTGGATGGCATGGCCCAGTTCAGATGTGGAATCATCCACGTCGTGAGTCTTCCAAAGTAGTGTATCACTTCCCTTTCGCATGTGGACCAAACACCCAGCGACCGGTGCGGTGTTTAGGTCCAATGACCAAAGCGCCGCCACCAAGGGCCGCCACCAAGGCGTGTCAAAAACCCAAGCTCGGATGTACGAAGTGATTGACAAACTGGGAGCCCTTCAGGCAGACTGCCTGAAAGAGCAACAGTATTATTGATATACTTATATATATATACTTAATTGTAAATATTTATACAGTGACACAGTGTACGTGTTTTCAAAGGTGAATGTTCTAGACTCTAAAAGCTCCTAACAAATCCTAAAAGAGTCAAAACAAAAGTGTGTGCATGTGTGTTTGTTTAACTATATATAATCGATTAATATATATATATATATTATATGATTAAGAAAGACATTTGGGCCACGACAATAGGCCCAGTTCAACCCAGTTCAACCAATTCGGTGCTCGAACCCCACCAGGCTATCTTGGCTCGGTGTTGATTCTTCCACACCCCCCAAAGCATCGGAAGGGGATTGGGGATCTGAGGCCTTTGGCTTTGAACGACTTGAAGTGTTTGTTTTAAATGCGTTCCATGCATCTTTTCCTGGGGATCCCGATCATTGCGTCAAGATTGTGTGCTTTTGGGGGGAGAAGCTTGGCATTGGGCTTCAGAGGGTGTTGTTTAATCCTAGATGGTTTCGGCTCTCTTCCCTACCGAACAGACAGGAGAGCCTACGCTCCTCCCTGCGCTCCCGAGCCTCCCCAACCGACGACTGTGGCGCGCTGGCGCTTTCCGCGCGGTCTGGCGCGGTCTTTCCGGAACGAGCGGAGCGTTCGGAGACCGGAACGGTGCCGGCCGGGTGCTTATTGCCACCCGTTGGCCACGCAGAGCCGCGTCAGGGCCTTGGAGGCGCAAAACTCCAGGTCACTGCCGGAGAATGTGGTTTGAAGGCATGGCATAGACGTGGATTGTCCATGGGATGAACTGATCTTCCCAGCCAGCAGGGGATTTGTGTTCGTTTCACCATGTATCACTCCAGAGATCATGGTCTGCAGTGATCACGTGTGACCACGTGATAGGGTTGATGTCGTGAGCTCGAAACAGGATGGACTCCACCGTGCTCAGCCAAATGATCGTTTCTGGATTGACCAGCGAAGTGCGGTTGTTGCCGTTTTTGTTTGTTTTGAGGGGTCAGGCTGAAAGTCCCAAGCAACAGAGTGGGATATCTCATCCCATCCATTGAGGTGCATGGTGAGTGTTGACCCACATGGAGATGCAACATGGTGGAGCTTAAGTTTCACGAACATGGACGCCCCCCCCAAAAAAAGGGGATGTCAACCATGGTGATTTCATGCTTTTCTTTGTCTCAACTTTGTCTCAAGACTTCCTTAGAGCAGGACCAGCTAAGTATGTTTTAACGAAGAAAGCTCTTTCACGAACGAGCCACTGGAAGCAATTCCATGTCCACGGCTCGGTCCTCCTCACGGCTCCAGAACCGGTCAACCAAGCGGACCAATCGTCAAGCCGTCCAACAGACCGCGAGACCGGAGGGAGCGGGAAGTTCCAGAGCGGGCTTAACCAAACTCATTCAACAGTATCATCTCTTAAGAATGGTCCTCTTAGATATAGAAACCTGCCGATCTCCTTGAAAAAAAGCAATCGGCAATCTGATATATATATATATATATATTTCCGTAGCGAGTCCCCACAGCGCTCGGTTTAGACAAAGTGCAGGAGTCATGCGACGCATTGGAGCATTTTTTGGAAGTTCAGTTCTGTGGATTTGAGAAAGTAATTCTCTCAGAATGGCCGGAAAAAAAAAAAAAAAAACACCCCTTGGTACAAGGCGTCCCAAGGCACAAGAACATCTCATTGGTACAGTCTACGGGGAAAAAGATTGAAAAAGACTGGAATCTCCAAAAGTGCTCGTCATCTCTTTAAAAGCGCTTGATCTTCAAGAAAGTGCACGTCATCATCCAAACGTGTAACGAACAAGGGTTGAGCAAAAAAACAACCTAATAATTAGTGCAACGAAAGCTGCTTTTCGGGAAACCAACTACAGTGAGTGCCTTTCTGAGGGGCAAAAACCTGTACACCTTTAATGAAGAGAACCACTTTTGCCAGGCCGGAGATGCTGGTCATGCTCATCAACGGGTCTTGGGGCCTCCCAGTCAAACAGATCCGCACGACCGGACACTGCGACGCTGGTCCTTGGAGCCACGTCCAGCCCCTGAGCGCATGAAGCGTCTCACGTAACGCCTCCGACCCACAGGGGTTCTTGCACCCGAAATCAATGGAAAAAAGCCTTTCCCGTTGGAGAAGGGCCCGGAAATACACTCCCCCGGATTCATTGGAAGTGGACAATAAGTTCCGGGAAGACCATGTTCCGAACACCAAACACAGGGTGTTCCACCTCCATGTGAGTGAGTGGGGGGTGTACACTCCTTGAAAAAATCATGGAAGTGGAAAATAGGCCCCGAAAGGAAGATCATTGTACCAAACAGGTGGTGCCATCCACGCAACCATGATTCGTTCAGGGATCTGGGGCCCTGGGGAACTTGCTTTGACAGCCAAAAAAAGCCTGACGACACTCCAAGCATCACACAACACCACTTGCATTGGGATGCCAACCGTGAGACAATTGTACCACTGCCACACGAGAAAGCACAAGATCTCGCTGCGTAGGATCAAGATTATTAATAGACTGTGGAAAATTAGCCACTAGACTGCGAACAGCCGCTGGTTTCGGTTTGACTCATATGTATATCCCCTTGCCATGCGATGTCAGAAACATTAAGACTTCCAGCACGACACCTGATGTGCAGCTGAATCCCAGCATGGTTCCATCATCTTCGAAATCAACACCGAGTTGCAAAACAAAGTCTTTGTTGCCCAGTGGTGTAAAGTCACACATGTAGCGACGGCTAGCGGCTAGCGGTTGAACATTGCAAGAGTTAAGAGCTCACGCGAAGACTTCAAAGACGAAATATGTCATCAACCTATCTTTACTGCTTCCGCAAGCCACAGCACGTCCATCATTTTGTGAAAGCATGTGAAAGCACTGTATGACTCTTGCCTGCAACAACCTGGTAGAATAATTACTGGGTCACCCACTATCGCAGAAACCTGAGCATGAGTATGTTCATCCAAAAGTGGCAGGCTGCATTGTTCATCAAAGTTCAAACCACGAGCAACAGCACTGCCATTGGTGCTGGCTGCACAGGAGTGGTTTCATTGCCAAGCAAAGGATTTCCATCACCACACATGGAAGTGGTTGCTATGGCCCCCACTGGGAAAGAGGACTCTCTCCTCCAGGAACAGCGTGACTCCGATGTGACACATCGAGGGTATTTGTCCGCTTCCTTTGGCTCGTTCACGGCGTGTGTCTTCTGCTTCTGCGTCCGGCAGTGCGCAACCCGAACAGAGGCAATGCAGTGGTTGGGGCCGTCAACGACCAGCCTCCAAGCCTGAGCGACCCTTGAGGCCGTGAATGATCTCGTTGGACGACCAGTCTGGTTATAACGTGCTTCCCACGTAATGGTGAAAACAGTCCAGACACGACCAGCGCAAATGGCATCAAATCAAGGGCAAATTCCATCACCTTCATCTGTGTTAAGATTATCAATGGGTCAAACCACACACCTGGTTGCCATAATCTTGAGTTTCCAGGCGTTGACCCACACCCAAAGCCTCTTATTTGCCAATCATCAACACCTCCTTCTCCTTTCCAAAAGTCTTCTGCCCTGTACGAACAAGTCATCTCTCATGAAAGGCAACCAAAGAACTCCTAGCTGCATGCATCCAACAATAAGTTGTTTGGCCTGTCTCAAACATCACGATCCTCTCTGCCTTCTCTCTACTGCCCCAAATCAACCAACCCCCGTGACGGCCGCGTGCGCTTCGCCTCCTTTGGCGGCTTTCGCCGCTTTCGCCTGGCGCGATTCCGTTCGCGATCCACGGGCCGGGGCGAAAGATGTCTCCGGAAGAGCACCGGACCTCGCAGTTTTGGTGCTCAAAAGCACAAGGGAGGCTCCAGATGAGCCAGAGCCTCCAGTGGAAGATGCTGTCAAGTCGTCTGTGGCTGAACTCATTATCTAAGTAACCCCGAGAATGCAGGCTGCCTCACAGCCGGGATATAAAGGTTGTGCCAAGATGTGCCAAGAGTCTTATTGCTTTGTCCAAGGTCCAGTTTTCATGGGTACTCCGCAAGTCTAAGATGGTCAAAATCCAGACTTTGCACATGAACTGGGGTGCACAATCCTGATACACCATCCACAAACTACAAGCTGGGTTTTCTTGGTTCCTGCATCTCCCGACATCGCCCTAAGCTACCTCATGTGGCTCAAGGAATCTGGGACATACCGAGGAAGGACTCTCCCCTTCCGATCCCATCCCACCTCATCCTTGGCTTTGGCCTGTGGAACCTGCGCGGGATCCACATGGCGATCCAAGGATCGATCACAGGGAGAGTACGGCTGGAACACAGCGCAGGACCAGCGCGGAACCACCAACCAAAAACGGATCGGCCTTCTAAGAAACAACAGCGCTGAGCTCTCTGATCATCTCTTCCCCACAGTCCTTTTTTGGTCTCAAGACCGACACCTGAATCTGATCGAAGGAATTGGTGGTCGAAGCGGTCTCTTCCCCGATCCAAGAAAGAAGTAAACAGAATCGACCACACGACAAATTCTCACTTCTTCCATTCGTCTAACACTTCAAGGTCCGCCAGGCGTCAAATGGTCAATGCTCGGTACTACATGGTCACAGCTGCGCCGTTGGCGCGCCTTATTGGTCCCGCTCTTCTTGGGTGCAGCCTGGTTTCTCAGCAGAGCAGCGCCGTCACAGAGGGATGAGACCAGGAAAAACAGGTCTCGTAGCATGGAAGTTCACCTTAACTATGGCAAGAAATGCTTGGGAATCAATGTAGTTTGGTTCTTTTCGAGCAGAAAGTGGCAGTTGATGGAATACTGAACCAACCATTCTTGATAACCATTACAAACTCGCATAAACTCGCCATGCATGTGTTCTACGTATTTCTACGTAATAGCAGCATATCCTGCACGGCAGGTGGTGTAAGAAGGCTTGCCTAAATCCCAAAAAACCTTCCTCAACCATTCCCCCCTTCTCTATTTCTGATGTCAAGTGGTGGTCCGACATAGCACCAGGGAAATCAGTGCTTTGTGCTTTGAATGAAAACAAGTCGACTTAAGGCTGCAAACTGCAGGAAAAAGATGAGCAAAGTTCGCAAGCATGAAAGGTCTTGGGCCTCTGGTCTGACAGAAAGGAGGCCACCCTGGGGTGGCCACCTTTCTGGGTGAACGAACTCTGAGCAGTCACATGCTATGACCCTCTAGGGCCAACCGTTTTTGATGGTAGAAGTTTGGTCAACAATAGGCCCGTCCAGGACCTTTGGTGCGTCCGGCAGCAGCCTGTGCACTCCCTAAATCTTCAAGCTAAGTCCCGAGCTCTTTTCACCAACTCAACTCTTCTCTGCTGACTCCCCCCCCAAAAAAAACAAATAAAAATCAAAACTGCAACATTCTGCCCAAAAATCACACCAGGGGGTGGGGCCGGAATCCACATTCTTCCACCGGATCTCCACGGAGCTCGACCTCTGCTCGGGGCTTCGGAGCCTGGGGCGCCTCGCGGGTGGCGTGGCGGCGGTTCGACGGAGCGTGGAACGACGACGGAGCATGGGGCGAAGGGACGGAGATGGAGTCGGAAAAGAGGTGATCTTTTTGGGGTGATTCTCATGAAACATTCTCAGGTGTGGAGCATGTGTCGGGTCATTGTCCAGGCAGAAAAAACACATATGAGACGCTTCCTTCTTCGGGGCGGAACCAAACTCTCCCGGCAAAAGGCATGCACCCCGGGAAAGCAGCGAAGCAAAGAGAGGTGATATGGCAGTGGGTCAAAACAGGGGGGCCCTGATTAACCACCGAAAATGAACAGATTCTACAAGTTGACTTCAGGATGTCAACCTTCCAGGACCTTCCATGGATTGTAGGGTGAGGTGTTGACCCACTGCCATATCAACTCTATGAAACAGATGTTCTGTCCGTGTCCAGTCACCCCCTGTCATCCCTGTCCTCAGGTCTTCAGGTCGGGTCATTTGGGAAGTGATCGACCCTCAGGTGTCCTGGACCTTCGCCAGTCCACCTTCGCCAGTCGTGTCACAGTCGTGTCGTTCGCCAGTGTCGACCCGCAGCAACTCTTGCATATTGGTTCTGTCCGAAAGCCTAAGCCCTGAGGGTCAAAACGCTATGAAGGTCCTTTCCAAGGCCCAGAACCAGTGAGCTCAAGATCGATGATCGGTCCGAAGGACCGTCACAGAACCAACCCAGAAAGATACGTAAAAAGAAGGGAGCCACAGTCCCAACATGTGCCAACCATTCCATCATATTCCATCCCTTTTTGGGCCAACCGTTGCTTTTGAGCCCAAACATCTTGCAACCAACATCATTATTTTACATCAAAGTGTACATCAAATTAAGGTAATAATTAGAACAATAAACTGGATTTAAGATGATTTATAAATATCTAGGGTTTAGGGCTTAGGGTTAGTAGTCATTAAACGAAAACGTCACCAACTACAGCTACCAGCTACCAGCATTACATAAACCTCTTTAGTGCACCCGTGCACCGCGAAACCCACGGCGAGCAGAAACCCCACGCGGACCTGAGCCTGTGCCGTGTAGCCATTCGGCGTCAGCACCTGCTCCGGCCGGCTCGTCGAGAAGAGGAAGACCCCCTGGCCACTGGCTAAACAAGTCGTTTTTTTTCGATGAAAAAGAAGAACAGCAACTCGAAATCTCACTTGCGCAAGGCGGCGCGCGATCAGGGTGGATGCACGAAGAACCGCGGTTTTCCGAGTTTTGGAGAGGTAGGAAGTGAACCACGATTTTCGACGAGAGAAGCTGCACGCATGTGGTCATTAATATCGTGGAAGTCGATCACGGGCCTTATAGGTTGATTCCAACGAAGTGGTGTACTGGTGTACTTGGATGTCTTTCCAACATGTCAGAAGCTTCGACAACGAGACTCGACTTCCACTTCCCCATCAGCTTCGACTTCGCCACAACTTCGCCGCAACCTCCGGGTTGTTGTTCACAAGTTGTCACACTGGGCTTCCCGAGCAGGCTTCGAACGCAGTGGAAGATCACGGTTGTAGTCATCCTAGGTCGAACATGGTCACCACGGGTGATGACATATGACTATATGTCGAATCGGACTTGAAGCTTCAGGTGTCCGGGGTCCAGAATCCTGGAAAGCCCAAGAACCAGAAAAACAGGCTTGTTCCGGCATAAATTGAGATCCCTTACGTAGCAAGTGGCTGGGACATGCTGGCACTGGGGGGATTCCCATCCAGTTGTTTTGGGACGTGGTCTTTAGGATGCTCCTGATTTCCGGCGAGATACATGTCTGAATGTCTTGTACGGAGCCTGAGAATGCAGTCGAAAGTTGATCCCCTCCTGCTGTCGACAGATTTTATTGACATAGAGATACTGAACACATGTTGTAGAACTACCCCCAAAATACCACTCACTCTCACCACCACTCTCACCTCCGTTTTTGCCGCGCACCGAACAAAAACCAACCAAAACAGGCACACACCCCATACACACCCTCTCCATCGGCCAAGAGGCATCCCAGAGCAAGACGCTGCGGACCTTCTCTCCAATCCCAGCACCCTCCAAGAGCCGCACCTGAACCCGAAGCGAGTTGAGGCGGGGAGCTCGGGTCACGCACCAGAAAGCGCAACAACGCACCATGCAATGATGGGATGCGTCAGGCGGCGTCAGGTCTTTCGGATGTGGTTTTTCCCCAAATAGTGCTCCGCACTAAGGGGTTCTTACGGTAAGAGTTAAGCGGGTTTAGATCAGGGTTCGCGCGTGTGGGCGCGGCATGTTGCGTGGGCCGGCTCGCACAAAAGTTACTTTTTGAATTCCTCACGTCCATTTCGACTGCGCAGGCTCGCATAAAGTGGGGGTCGCGGTTTTCGCGCTTCCGGGACAAAGCTCTCGTGCAGGTGCCGTGCTCGTTTTCGGACCTGAAGTGAATTTCGCGTGGCAGGCGCAAGGAATTCGACACATTGGAGCCTCGAAAAGGTCATTTTACGTGGCAGGTGCAAGGAATCGGAGACTTTGCAAATTTCGTGGCAGGCGCAGTGTTTTGTGGACGTTGCAAAACGTTGGCAGGCGTGTGTCATTCGCAGGACTGCGTTTCACGTGGCAGGCGCAGGGAATCCGCACCATGGATGCGATATTTTGAGGTGAAACGGCTGAATTCGTGAGAGGGGTCGCATTTTTGGACTTTGACCTTGAGGATGATTTTGCGTGGCCAGTGCAGCATTTCGTATGACCTGCAGGCATGATTTCGTGGCAGGCACAGCATTTCTGAAACGCATTTCAAAATGTGCGAAGGCCTCGTGCAATTTGCTCATTTTCGATCTCCGATGTGCAGAGTTCGTGGCAGGCGCAGCACTTTGTGAATCTCGATGTGCAGATTTCGT